TGTTTAACGGGTTGGCATTCCGGGGGATAAGGTTCGCCAGGAGTCCTACATTTTTTTACTCCCTATTTATTCCACTTTTTTTTTTCTAGGTAGTTAGGAGGTGCAAATGTGCGTAACTTGCCACATTTTCAACACCTTCTAGTAGCAGCTTGGCATACAAAAAAAAAAAACGAGAAACGAGAAAAAAAGAACAATCTTATGGCGAGGGAAAAGTTTCAATCTGCGTGTAAGAGCCCCATGGGGCGTATGTGCAATTTCTAGCGATGTAAACTTTTTGGCATTAAATTGCCAGAGATTTTCCTGCACTTTCCCCAAAAGCCAAGGCACAACAATTAATCATCAAGTCGCTGGCAGCGGCGCCCCCTTTTAGTTGGTCGGTGGTTTTTCTTCTGGGTTCTGTATTTTACAACAAACACAAGTGTCTTTGCCTTGGCAAATTTCTCTGGCCCATCGTCTTATTTTCGCTCTCACGCCTGACTAATCGTTAAACAATTGTTTAACATTAAAATGGCCAAATAATCACATTAATTAGCATTCTCGTTGTGCCTCACTGCTGCATTTCATTGTTGTTAGTTCGTGTGTGTGCCAAAAATCCCATGTACTATAGTTTCTGCGGTTAGTTGTTCACAGCTGTTTGATTAATTTGATGGGTGTGGCCAGGCTGGCAGTATTTACTTGGCGATTTGTGTGTGACGTGTTTTTGAAAAGCAAACAAAAGGGAGGATCATGTGCAATTGCATGAACAAATTCCAATTTAATCGATTTTCAGGCCAGGAAAGTAGGATTTTGCTTGTTTGTTGAACGTTTCTGAAAGCTGACTGGGTAATAACCAAAATGTTTATTTTGTTTATTAGTAAGATGAAGTCTAGAAAAAACTTTGTCCTATATTTACAAGACTTTTTTTTATTATTTTAGTATGATATGGTATTTTAAATTAATTGCTTTCGAAACTGCTTGGTTGTGTAAACAATAGTTGTGGCCATTTTCTCCTACAACCTCTTCAGCACTTGAACTAATATAAAATTCAATAAATTCCAAACACGTTGTGTACTAAAATATTTAACTATTTTTGCGCATTTGCCAACAGTTCAAACGTATTCTCTATTTACCGACTTTTTGGTCCAGCGGTTCGATTCTGCAAATTTTTGTTTACACTCTGCCCGGATTTCGAAACAATATTTCTGCCTACCACTCATTCCATTTACTGCTTGTGCTGCTGAACCCAATCACTTTTGTTTACCAACGCGTAATTATTGTTGCCTATTTGTTTACTACTTTCATATGCATAATTACTGATATAATTTCAATTTAATTGCAATTAAATTTTTGCGTAATTTGCGTTGAACAACGCAAACAACAAAATCTGTTCGGGGCAAACTATGAATACATTTTGCGTGGTTTTTTGCTAGCTATATTATTTATATGTTTTTTTTTTGGTGCTGGCGAGTATGGGGTTCCACAAATCAACATGTTCGAACCATTACCTTCAGAGGTCCCCTGCCAATGTTTTGTAAATAGTTGCTCATATTGTTTTTGTTTGCTCTTGGAAGATAAATTGTGCAGAACTTATTTATGGGATCCGCAAGCAAATGGATTGATTCGAGAGGAGGAGCAGATTTGGTTTAGATTTCTAATGGGGGTCTCTCATTAAAGTCGAGGCACTTAATAAATTGTCCATCATTAAAAGTTTTAGGCACTTTAATTGTGCCAGCCCCGAAATGCTAATGGAGTTGCCCTTTATAAACTCGACGAAAGTGTTCGGGAAACGGGTGTCTTTATCTCTCGAACATCTTAAGAGAGATCTCTGTGGTAATTAACATGATTTATGCCACAAATAAAAGTCAGTTGTTTTAACTCAAACAATATTTTGCGCACAACTTTCATAGGAAAATTGAACGTAATTATAGAAAAATACAAGGCTTTCTAACGTCTCCAACGCAACTCAGACAACACACCAAGAAAGATTATAAATAATTGAAACATTTATTGCAGTCATGAGCAATTTTGTATCTAATTATAATTAAGCCGAGTCGCCGCCCCGTGTGACCAAAATCGCTCTCGCTGTGCTCCTCAAATGTATCATATAATGCCATAATATATGTCATAAATTATAAGAGGCAGATGGCAACTGGCTGGCTGTCTATTGGCTAAGCTCACGGGATGAATCTGGGAAGCTTTCTGGGCATTCTCATACCTAATTTACCATTCTGCAGCTGCCATTTGTGTTTTGGCTCTCTCTAAAGCAATCATGTAGTTGTGTCAAACAGTTATTCCATCTAAATTGGGTAGGCTAAATTATTCTTGCAATTTGCAGATTTTATTTATAAATTTGTTAGATCAATTTAATACGAATTGAAGTTAAAGTAGGTACTTACTTGAAACTAAACTGTTTATTGAACTATCGTTCCTAACCTATTAAAGAAGCTTTCAATATGAAGTTGGTCACATTTATAACCGAATCATTCTGTTTACTCCGACCTTTCAGCCTTATAAATGACCAGCATAACGATGATCTCAAACATTATTACACTTACAGTTAATAGCATATTTATTTACTTGCCCCTCGTTCATTTTGCCTTACCAATTCCATCTGTCATGTTTATTTATTCTTCACAGATTTTCGGATTTTTTTTTTCTGTTCTTTCTGCGCAATATCTAATTTTTCATTAGAATTTGATTCTGTTGGTTCGGCTTTTTATACGCTCTGACCCTATTAATATGCTCGGAACGTGGCGTAGTATACATCTTTCGTAATTTATTATTGTCTTGCCATTTGTACAGTTAATCAGGCCCCAAAAGGCGAACATTCACGGCATTACCTGAAAATATCCAGATATAGATTCGGACGTACAATGTATATATATGTACAACACTCATATATAGATGTTGCATGGCAGATGCTTCTGCTGCCAGCGATTGCTTTGCAATTTGTTTCGGTGGCTTTTCCTGGCAGCAAATTGTTGGGGCCTTGTCGAAAGTCGCATACTTGTGATGTTGTTCGTGTCTCTGCCGCTGCAGCTTCATGTTCGACTGCAATTAATGTGGACACTTAATTAATCATAAAAATTGGCGAAAAGTGTTTACGGCTCATTTAAATTGACAAATGCTGCGTGGGCTGCTCTACTCTGTTCTGTTCTGGCCATGTTTGTCTCTGCCATCTCGTCTCGTTGTTGCATAATTAGAAAAAAAGGGGGGAAAAAAAACCCAAAATCAAAAACGATCTGACCTGATTAACATTTTCACTGTCCGCCCTCGGCAAATTTCTCTCTCTCGCCTAAGTTTATTCATAAGCAGTGCTTATAATTTCGTGATTATGATAACAAACTCATTTGTTTTCCATCTCATCTCGTTGTCGAGTCGGATCAGCATCAGCATCATCTCGTAAAGTCGCAAGAACAACCAAGACCATCTGGCCCCATGTCTTTTGCATACTAATTTGATGATTTTCGACGAGCTGACTGATGTCTGGCAGTTAGATGCTTATCACTGGATTAGGCGCTCAATGAGTCTGTTCTGGACTGGGGGCTGTATATGAATGTATATGGTAATGCCTGCCGGGGGCATCTTCAGACGCTTTTCGGTTGTTATTTTGACAGATACACCGAACCCACTTGTTATTGGTATTCTAATCAGCTGCCACTAAGACGAGGGTTGCATGAGACCGATTTCAGATTTTCATCTCGAAAGGATCCTGAGAAAATGGATGCCAATTAAAAGGGAATTAGGAATTTCTGGGGTGGAAATTGTATGATGTATGTTTGAATTTATAAGTATTATAATTGGTTTATATAAAAGATATAAGTTTAATGTCTGATCTGTAAACTTTTTTTGGGTAACCCAACCATTTTTTCCTCCTTTGCCTGAGTAGTTTAATTTGATGGTAACCCGTAGTCACTTAAAGCTAGTTTATCCCCCTAATGTAACCCCCTATTTCAGCTTCATTTCGATAGATTATTATTTCCTCTTGTCCGAACTCATGATCTTTTTCATCTTATGGTGAAACTCCCTCTAATTATGCGATACATCAAAAATAAACAAATTTCAACTGATGCTACTTTTGTTGGCCTCTAATGCGGCGCACGTAGCGAGTTATTTTCCCTTGCCACCCCCTGGCTTTCCACAATTCCACCCCCATGACGACCCATGGACGCACTAATTTTATGGCTTAATATACTCGCACCATGGGTGGCGGAGCAGATTGTGTAACTATGAGTTAGGGGGGTTCGAATAGAATGGAACTGAATGGATGCTACTGGTTCTCCAGCGCGAAATTGGCACTCAACGTCAGTGTTTCCCATTCCTCAGAGCTGTCACTCATTTGCTCATTCCCCAGTTTTCCCCACTTTTCTCAGTTTTTTTTCTACTCGACCCCCCTTCGTCTTCTGTCCATTTACCATTCATTGCGTGAAGAGGAAAAGAAGAAAAATATTTGTCACGGCAGCTTGGAATTCTTAATTTTATTACACTTTTTTCTGGCGTGCGTAACGCGCCAAGAGACAGCCACCAGCAGGGGCGTCGCAGGAAAGGGGGGCGTGTCTAAGATGAGAGGATAGCCTCGTTTTTTTGTAACGCCCACCCCCCCTTTTTTTTACCCGGATTCCTGCATGCAAATTTGGTCTTGTCGGAAATGACATTTTCATGCGTAAATTGAAATGTGAGCGACGTGTTTGGGGATTTGTGTCGCAGGCCAGCCTTCTGCTCCTGCTAAAAAAAGGGAAAACCACGCCCCCACAAATGGGGAAAATAAAAGAAAAATTGCCATAGCTTTTAATTATTTTTACGCCTCCAGAGACTTTTCCTTAGATGAAGTACTTAAGGGGGGATTATTTAATTAACTCCCCTTAGTTAATTTTAAGATCTCAACTTATTTGTTGGTCAGCTAATTGTTTTTTAATTGACATAATAAATCAGATAAATAACTTGATGGTTTTTGGCATCCTTTAAAAATATTTATAATACTTATTTAACACTTATTTTGTATTTCTCTCTTTTCTTTATAGGTAAGTTCAACTTTCTTGGAATCCAAAAATCCTAAAACAACAGCAAGAAGGCAATTTCATTTGGCAGCTAAGTTCCAAGACGACATTTATAATATTTTTATCTTAAAAACTACTACAAAATCGACCATTCTCGTTTTTAATTATAACAAAACACAAGTCTCGTCAACAGCCGAGTTGAAAATTGTGTCAGGCCGTACCCAGAGTTTTTTTTGTTGTGCGGTTGTACGTTTGCCCTGATAAGAGCAAAATTTCTATAACATTTCCTGTGCGGCCCGATAAAAACAATGAACAAAATGTGCCTTCTGATAAGGCGTAGAACCCTGAGCCCAAAACATATTGCAAAGTTCTCTCCCAGATGGAGGCATGAAATTTGCTTCCATCCCGAGCTCTGGAATATTAGATTTTCGAACCGAGAGATTCTTCACCCACATGTATAAAATATGCAGGCTATAGAATGGAATGAATGAATGACGACGACGAGGGGTGGATGAATGAACAACAGCATATATAGTAGTAGTAGTATGAGTAGTGGCAATGGAGGAAACTTTCCCAGACTTTAGTTGGCTGGGGGAAAATTGAATTTCCTGCTATTGACTTTGGGGGAAAAGAACCGACAGCGGACGGCACAACTTTCATACGAGCGCATAGGCAACACACACCAAACCGATGGGGAAAAAATTACAAAAATGTCAAAGCAGGAGTAGGAAAAAGTTAAAACTGAAAAGCAAAAATTGCAAAACACAAATCGAGAACGAGCCACCGCCAATGTCTGGTAGCGAAGAGTCGGATTTTGTATCCCCCTATTTTTTAGTATTTTTTTTTGGCTGCTGCAACATTTCCCATCTTTTTTCTGTTGTGTTTTAGCAAGCGACGCCGCCAACATTCAATAAAAATTCAATTTGCAATTGAATTTGTTTTCACTCGATATCCTGCCATCTCTCCTTTTTTTTCTGCCCCCTCTATACATCTCTCTCCTCTCTGTCTTTCTGACAGGATTGCAACTTGGTAAACATTGCAAAAATCGCCAATAACATTATACATTTTACCCAAAACCATTTCACGCTGCATGTGTGCAAAGTGTTAGCTGATATTGTCATTCAAGTGATACATTAACCGCAATCCGTTCAATAAAAGTGTCCAAATAAACATTTTTTGAGTGTGGCTTAAACCAAATTAAAATAAATTAATTTAATAGCTATTGAGTTAGTCAATTTATAATACAAATCTAAAGCTATATCTGTATGATTAATCGTCTTAAAAGATCAATGGCATCCAGTGAATAATTCGATTTTTTTTCACACCACTAAATGGAAACGCTTAGAACCTTTATTCCTATATCCATATAATATGCTTTCCACAAAAGCATTCACTTTTCAAATCTAAGCCCACATCAGCATCATATTTATTTCATCAGTTTGTTTTGGCAATTTTAATCCCGACAAAACATTGGCAGTTTGCTTAAATTATAAATGCTTTTCGCCATATTTCAGTTTGGTTAAAAAAGCCACAACACAGTCACATACGTTGGGTTAAAAAGTGGGTGAAAAGTGGGTGAAAGTGGGCCAAATTCAGAGGACGAGAAGCTTATCGTTTGCTGCCGGCTTTGCTGCGGTTTTTAGCAGTTTCCGTTCTCGCGTGGCTTATCGATTAAATTCATATCATTGACACGTCATAAACAAAAAATAAAGTGCCAGGGAGACTGAGAGATAAACTAAAAATAAATACAAATAAAAATGGCAGCGTACGCTGTGTGTTGTGCCTGGATTTTGTGGTCGGAAAACCTTTTAGGCCAGGCCCAACCGACTAAGTGAATTAGCCCAAAGCGACAGCGATATAGGTGAATAAAGAAAAAATAAAAAAGCAGCGAACAAAGAAAAAAAAAAGTAACATTAATAAATAGAATTTTTTGTTATAACAAACGGTGTACAAAAATGGCTACCAAAAAAAAAGGGATCCTTTGCTGCCAACAAGCCCCCTCCAACTTTTTTTCTTGTCAATATGCAAATGGCTAACAAAAAAAAAATCGGGGGGAAAAAAGGTGAGGACAAGAGCCGAAAGTGAGCAAAAGTCGCGCAAATTAAAGGCGAAAATGATGATAATGGAAGCAGTCGCCTCGTTGTCACTCCGAAACCCATTCCCTTCCTGAAAAACAGTCACGTTAAACGGAAATGGCAATGTCTAGACTGTGGACTTTTTGGACCCTAGTAGTCCGTTGCAGTCGGTGGAGTAAGTAACCGCAGAACATTCGCAACGGCACAAAAGGTTTCAGTTTCGGTTAGTTATTTTTTCTGCCTTTTTTCGCCCTCCATTTTCCTCTGCCGCAAACAAATTTCTGTGTGGAAAAGCCCAAAAAACAAAAAAAATATATTACAACAAAGGTCTAGGCGGAGAGCACCCTTGGGTGGAGTTTTCCTCTGTTTTGAATTTGGAACTGAGTTCCCTCAGAATCGGATCCGAATCAGACTCAGATACAGCCCCATCATATGACAAAAGACAGAAACGTTTGTTTGGAACGTGCTAGGTACTGAAAACAAGGCTCCATCATGGCGTTTTGTATATTTCGTCTGGCCAAGAAAGTAAAGCATTTGTTTTTAAACTGTCGAAAAAGGCAAAATATATAGCTATATTTCAAGTTCAACCCTTAAAGATGATACATTTGTATGCCTTTAAAATGATATAATCCTTTTTATCCCTTCTACATTAAGAATATCACTCATACGCAGCGTTGCACCTAAAATACCTTTCCTTATTATGCTCCCAGCATTCCTTATGTAATTTCCCTTTTTATTCTCTATCCCAAACGTTAACGGTAATAGACATCAACAACAGATAAATGCTTATTTTTTTCAGTTTGATTTCCTTTCCAAAGAAGTGAAAATATTAGCAAGAAAATGGCAATTTCCGTTTCATCAGAAAAGGGAACCCAAGACAGTGCGCAGAGGTGGAAAATGGGTGGCTGTTTCTGTCTAAGCTTATGGTAAACATTTCTCAAGGCCTTTCGCACACACGTTTCCACCATTAGAGGCAAAAAAAACTACAGTAAAAAAAGGCCAATGCAACTGACTGACTTTCGTACGGTTGTGTTCTCACTGCGTCTCGCATTTTTTAAGCTGCACATTTCTCTTCATCTACTGGAGGAGAAAGACCCCCCCCCCATCGAAACCCCACCTAGTTTAGCTGGCAACATTTGTTACGTTCCCCTGGCCTGTCTGCTTGTTATATTTTCTCATTTCTTGGCCCACGTTTACCTCCTGGCAATTGCAGTTGTCAGTCTCCTCCGGTGAGGGCTGTAGGTGCTCGCCATCCTTGTAGATATGCATATGACAGGTTACAGGCTGTGCACCGGGAGAAAAGTTCAGAAGTCGCATAATATCATTAATATTTATCAGATTTGACCTATTTTAACTATAATTTATTGGATATAGTGATCATTCATTAATTTATGAGATTTTAAAGTCTTCCCATATTCCTTATATATAGAATTCGGGAATATTAGTTAAAAGTAATCAGATTTGTATGTTAGTATTTAGTTTCATTAAGATAGTGCGAATTCCTTCAGTTATGATATAGTAAAGTTGTGCTATACATGGTAAACCCTTAAAACATAAAGTTGAAAAAGAAGCAACGTTACATCCGTTATACCCGTGGACATCCACGTCATCGTCTTCCCCACTTTAGCTGCTACCTCTTTTGATCCTGTTCCGTGTTTTCTCCTGCACTTTCTCCCCTATTCCCTCTGCAGATTCTCGTCCTGCGTCCTGCGCCCTGCATCCTGTTTCCTGCTTCATCAACGTCCGCGTCTGTTGTCCTTGTCAGAGTTGTCTACTCAACGACTCATAATTTCACTTGAGCATCATAAATGCCAACAGTCGGCAGTTTCTGTCTCTAGATCCCAGAACCCCAGAACCCCTGAACCCCATTTTCCCTCGATTTCCTTATGCCCACCCCTATATTCTTCCGCTTTCTGTTGGATCACAACAAACATTTGCCTAAACACCAGGGCAAAGGCAAACAGCAGCGGTATGGGGTTTTGGTATCCCTGCGATACTACGGCAAACATTGAAGAGATCCAATTGCAATTGCATTTTCTTTCCCTTGTTTTCTTTGGCCTTCCAATCCTCTCCTGCTTCTGATGATGCTGCTCCTGCTACCGTCGCCTGAGTAAACATTCCGAAATCCCGTGTGGATTTTTCCCAATCTTCCTTTCCCTGTTTTGTATTTTTCTCCTCTCGAGGATTTTCCATTACGATTCTCCTGGATTTTCTTTGCTTAAGGTTTGGCAACACTTTCAGGTACTTGTGTTAGTATAAAACACAAGAATGTTAATTAAAGCATAACAAACTACTTCCATTTATTAAAAGCCTACATTAACTTAATTATGATTTTATTTAATTTTTAATAATTTAAAAATATATAAATATATTATAGTCAGCTAATTTATCGCAGGACAACAACTTAGCTTTTCATTATGAATTTCATAGATTTTCTTATTAAAGTTTTTAAACCTTTGTAACCTGTACTAGAATCTAGTTATAGGAAAGATTTACAATATTTTGATCTATTTATTTTATTAAAGATGTAATAAAGTTACAAAGCTAACTAACATACGGTTGTAGTATTCCATCTAATTTACTCCTATCCATGAACTAAAATTAATATCTTAAATATTTCAAACAAATTACAGTTTGGCCAAGTTATTGCAGGACAAAGTCTGGGTTTTTTAATTAACGACTTAAGCGACTTAATCTCTTTTCCGTGGCTTACCCCAATCCTGGTTAATCCCCGCCAGGACTTGCCCATGTTAATCCATCACTACAGGGTATCGTAGTGGACTTGGCCAACGGCAATCTGGCGGAATCGCTGGCTCCTGGCTGTTTGGTGGCAATCTCAGCCAATGCCAAAAAAAAAAAAAGGAAAATGGGTAGCAGGACTATGTTACCTGGACATTTTTGGGAGGATGGGGATGGGGGATGGTGATAGGATAGGAAGGACACCCTGTTGCCCGTCGCCTGGCTGTTTGTCTAGCGTTATTTCGCTCACACATGCAGGACAAATGTGAACCATTTTGTTGGCCGTACTTCATGTCCTTCATATCCTTCGTCTCCTCCTCTCATCACTCTCTTCCTGTCTGGGTTTTCGTTGGCTCTTCCTCCCCCTTTTTTCTGCTCCTTTTTTCGTCCTTTTTTGTGAGACCCGCTCCTTTTGCGTTTTGTACGCTGTTATTACTTACTCGCGCATCGTTAAAGTGACTTCCGGCAATGTTTTTCCTCAACCCAACACACACACACACACAAGAGCCTCCATGTGTGTGTGTTATGGTAATAGCAGTGCATGTGCGTTTTTGTGCCTTCTCCTGGAGCGTAGCATACATTATGGGGCTTGCTTCACTGTCTGCTGCCTGCTAAATTATGCAGAGCTTTTGCCTTTTTGGCCCCGGACTGCTAGAAAAGGTGACGAAATATTACAATTTAACCTTCCCATCTTCCTTTTTTCGGGGGTATACATATACGTATGAACAAATTCCGCTAACAAAATGATGACCATGCTGGAAAGTGAAATATGAGATTTCACTGGCACGACTTAAATTTTTAAAGTACCCACCCGCCATTTCACTGCAACCTTTTGGTGGGAGATACGAACTACAGTATAATAAATAACACAAATTGATTGCGAGCCAGAAATTAATTGTCAATAACATTTATTTATACGGTACGTTTGGTTTGGTTTCAGCCCATCCATACCATACCATTTATTGTCGCTTTCGGGAGAACAAATAGTGTGCCAGAAGTGAGATAAAATTTCATGTCAATACGGAACGTGGGGCGTTTTATATTTCGATGTTGTGCCTTTTAAATAAAAAGGACCATTTTTTATAAGGACTATTTTGCAATGGAGATCAACTTTTACTGATTTGGTTAATAAAATAATTAATTTTTTGCTTAAAAGAACATATATCATAGGCGGATCTTCTTTATAGACACATTTAGTGATTTTACAAAATGAACGAATGAATAATGGCTAAAAAAGGATTGATGTATTTCACAGATTTTAAAAAAACTTAGATCATCTCAAACCCCGAATATGCAGATACTTTTAAAGTACAACTCAGAACTTTTGGGAAACCTTTTCGTACTTTTGGGGAGCCACTTGGGAAAACGCGGCAAACAAAAACCGAAAACAATTAAAACTACAAGGGGCGGCAGACCAATGGCGAGACAAATGACAAGGCGTGGCAGCGAAAAGTTTGCCAAACACCAGGGAAAGAGAAGGAAATAGGGCAGAGTGAAAGAGATGAATAGATGGGGGCAGAAAGAGAGGGAGGGAGTGTGGGAGTGGGAGGTGCGGTAACAACTGCAAGTGACTTCCTCGCTACTGCTGCTGCAGTTGCATAAAAAAGTTGAAAAAAATTCGTGTGACAAATAAGCAAAAGTTGCAAACCGAAAAGAGCTAGAGAGAGATGGGTATATGCAGATAGAAACAGGGAGAAGAGATGGGTATATGCTGATAGAAAGAGAGGCAGATAAGTTGGCTGGCGGACACTTTGCACTGCAATTTGCACTTCATTGCCAACAGCGGCAGCCGCGGGAGCGTTGAAGCGTTTTGGTCTCCTTCACAAAGCACTTTGTAAATTTTTTAAGTGCCATGCAAAAAGAAAAAAAAACCGAGAAAAACCGGAAAAGTCCTCCCTATACAGAGAAGAAAAATCTACTTTTTTTTCGCGCTCTCTCTCTTTTTGAACGAAGAGTGTCGTCTGCGGAAATTGCTTTGTTGTAAAGCGTAAAAAGCGATAGAAATGGCGGACATAAAAAAGAAAGGGAGGGCAGGGAGAAAAGTACAACTGTCAAAGAACTGAAGATGGAACCTCCACCCCCCACCCCCTAATGCAGAGCCCGACTTTTCCCCCATTTTTAATTAGGTAGCAAATTCCTCGAAGTGAATCAAAAATGTCGCTTTTAGAGCTGGGCTTTCACAGCGTTGAATTTGCCAATTAAAATTTGCTCGTTATTTCGCATTTGTATTATACAATTTTCATTTCTTTTCGGAAAGTTGTGCAACAACCGCATAATTTAATTTCCACAAACAATGAAACCACAACATGTCCACTTGCAGCTCAACGAAAAAGCATTTTTCGCAGGGGGGTGGGGATGTGAAACCCAAATTACAACACAATTTTTTGCGGGCATTAAAAAAGCGTTGGGGAAAACCGCAGGAAAACATGTCACCAAAAAGGGCAGCAGCGGAAAAGCTGCCATAACCATTCCCACCTCCACAATTTCCACTTTTGTGTGGAATGTGGAATGCTATGCGCCTGAATTTATTGTTCTTCTTTTGCCATTTATGACCAAATCGCATTCGCCAAATTGATATTCTAAACGCGTAAAAATTTATACATATTTGCTGTGCATTTATGTATATTTCTGCAGTGGTGTTGGGTTTCCATCGGTTTTTCCCCCTTTTTTTTTATATATTTTGGCTCGAGGAAAATGGGGCACGGAAATGTTTGGCGGGCATTAAAAATAAATGTTACATACT